CCACATCCCAATCCTTTTTATTTTTCTTTGTATTTTGAGGCAGATTCTTTTACGTTGCCCAGGCTAACCTAGACCATATAATCCCCCTGCCTCAGCTTCCTGAGTAGCTATAATTACAGGCATGTGGACATCCCTACTTAAAAAAAAAAAAAAAAGAGCCTAGAGGCAACCACTGTTCTAATTGCTAGCTCCAAAACTTAGATTTGCCTGTTCTTGGATTTCCTATAAATGGTATGTGCTCTTGTCTGCCTGGTTCCCTCTGCTCAGTGTAACTTTTTGTGTGTGCTTATGTGTGTGGTATTAGGGATGGAACTTAGGGCCATGTCCCTGTGAGGTAAGTGCTCCACCAATGAGTTATACAGCCCCAGCCCTTAAGATTTTTGTTTTTGTTTTTGTTTTTTATGTTTATTTTTTTTCATACCAGGGATCGAACTCAGGTCCTTGCCCTTACAAGGCAGGCAGTGGAACCACTGAGCTAAATCTCCGCCCAGCCCTTAAACTTTTTAAAAAATTTTGAGACATAGTCTCACTAAGTTGCCCAAGCTAGACTTGAACTCAAAATCCTCCTGCCTCAGCCTCCTGAACAACTGAAATATAGACATGCACCACTGTATACAGCTTCAACATAACATTTTTGAGATTCACCCACACTGTTGTATACACTGGTTTTCACTTCTGTTGGTTGTTCAGTAATGTTTCATTGTATTGATATACCATAGTTTCTTCCTCTATTTATCTGTTGATGGGCATTTGGATAGTTTCTAGTGTTTTGATTATTACAAATGCTACTGCTATGGACATTTCTGTACAAGTTCATGGAACACCTAGAACTTTCATTTCTTTTGAGTAAATACTTCGGGAAGGAATTGCTGGATCACAGTTAGTGTATAGTTCACTTTTGAAAACTACCAAACACTTTGTAAAATAATGTGCTATTTTCTCACTCCCATCAGCAATGAGTAAGAGTTCCAACTGCTCCATATTCTTGTCAGCATTTGTTGGTCAATTTTTCTTCATCCATTCCATTCCTGTGAGTATTAAATAGCAATTTTTTTTTTCAACACGTTGTTGCAGTGTCGCCCAGGCTGGCCCTGAACTCAAGATCCTCCTTACTCAGTCACCCCCTCCTCTCCTCCCCCCGCACCAGGGCTTCATACATGCTAGGCAAGCTCTCTGCCAATAGCTCCAGCCCATATATTTTCATTTTTTTAATAATGTTTTTCTAAGATTCTCTGAACATTTTATTATGTAAACTTTCAAATGCACAGGGCTGGGGATTTAGCTCAGTGGTTCTGCCACCTGCTTTGCAAGCTCAAGGACCCGAGTTTGATCCCCGGTACCAAAAAAAAAAAAAAAGAAAAAGAAAAAGAAAGAAAAAAAAAAGCACAGAAAAATTGAAATAGCTGTACAGTGAATGTTCATCTTTACTTCAGTTAACATTTCCCTATATTTGCCTTGTTATATACATCTATTTTTCCACCCCTTTCTCTGTCTCTTGATCTTTTAAAAAATGCACTTTAAGTGTGTATTTGACATCAGTAAACTTTAAACATTTAGCATCCACCATGAACTAGAACTCAACATTTGTATCCTAAGAAATTTTACCTAGCCCAAGTTTATAAAGATACTCTCCTGTGTTTTCCTGCAGAAGCATTATAGTTTTAACATTAACATTTAGCCAGAGATTTAGCTCAGAGGTTTTGCCGCCTGCTTCGCAGTTCATTCCCCAATACCAAACAAAAACAAAAAAAATTACCATTTATGCTCCATCTTTAGTAATCTTAGGTATGGAGAGCAGTAGAAGTCGAGGTTTATTGCTTTTTATATGGATAGTTACCTGCTCTGAGCTGACACTTTTAGTAACTTGTGACCCGGCAGTAAGGTCTCATCTTTCCACTCCAAGTGGTTTATACAGGTCTTTTCTCTACAAAGACAACCTCTTCATATACTCTAGCAGAGTACAGTCATAAACAGATACTGTATAATCCCATTTATGTGAGCTCAAAACAGGCATTATTAATCTAGGGTGACAGAAGACAGAACACTAGCTACCTCTGGACAGTGGTATTTCCTGGAAAAGGGAAATTTTGTTTGCTTGAGACAGGGCCTCTCTCTGCAGTTCAGGCTGGCTTTGAACTCACTGTGTAGCCCAGACTAGCCTCAAATTTGCAGCAATCCTCCTGCCTCAGCCTCCCAAGCGCTGGGAATACAGGCATAAGCCATCGTGCTTGGCTATTTTTTTTTTTTTTAATTTTCTAAGGCAAGTGGAACTGTCTCATCTTAACTGGAGGGTGGTCACATGAGTACATAGATAGTTAAGAATTAAGTGAGTTCTGGGACTGGGGATTTAGCTCAGTGGTTCCGACACTTGCCTTGTAAATACAAGGACCCAAGTTCGATCCCTGATACAAAAAAAAAAGAAGAAGAAGAATTAACTGAGTTCTTATACTTCAGCCATGGGCATTTACTGCATGTGAATCATAGTTCAGCTTTCACAAACAGATCCTACCACCACCCCACACATAAACACAAGGACCTAGGTGGTATCGATGTTGGTGGCCATATTACCAGTCTCTAGAGAGGCCCCGTGCAAAGTGAGTACTCAATAAGATTTGCTAAATGAGTTGGTGAATGACTGGATTTCATGCAATGCCTATTATCTCCCTAGCATTTCCACACAGACACCAAGGTAAGGCAACGGCAATGCTGTTTCGTCGTGGATTAAGATGCCTCAGCAGAACCACAGCCTCCTTTGGGGCTCTGCTAGGGATCAGCATTGCTCACCTTTGCAGCATATATTCATTTTCAATTTGTATAATTATGTGTTGTGTACAGAGCTGCTCTTCAAGTTCTTTCAGGACTTTTTTTTTCCCCCATGGTACTGGGGATTGAACTTGCTCTAGGCAAGCACTCTACCGCTGAGCTATATTCACAGCCCTTTTAAAACTTAGTTTCGGGCCAGGGATTTAGCTCAGTGGTTCCGCCACCTGCCTCGCAAGCACAAGGACCTGAGTTAGTTCCCTGGTACCAAAAATAAAAAAATAAATAGAACTTAGTTTTACTTGAAACAGTGTCTCATTAAGTTGCCCAGGATGGGGTCAAACTTGTGATCCTCCTGCCTCAACTTCCCAGAGTGCTGAGATTATGGGTATGAGCCACAGTGCCTGGCAGAATTAACTTTTATAAGCAATTCAATTTTGTTCTTTGCCAGCACTAGGATTTTTTTTTTTTTTTTTTTTGAGACAGGGTCTCACTATGTAGTCCAGGCTGGCCTTGAAATCCCTAAGTAGCCTAGACTGGCCTTGAACTCACTATGTAGCCCAGGCTGGCCTTGAACTCATGATCTTCCTTCACCAGCCTCAAGTGGTGGTACTACAGACATGTGCCACCATGCTGGGCCCAGTACTGAGACTGAACCCAATGCCTTCACACTGAGCTGCATCCCTAGACTTTTGAAGATTTTTTTTTTTTTTTTTAGCTAAGGTCTTGATTAAGTTGGCCAGGCCAGGCTCCAACCTGAGATTCTCCTGCCTCAGCCACCCAGAGTGCTTGGATTATACACACACACCAGCATACCTGACTGTACCTGAGATGCTTCAAAGTAACAATTATTGGAGATAGAGCCTGGGGTTAGGAGGGGACAATGTGGCTCCTGATCAATGATGCCCATAAAGGTCTGAGCATACAGACCTGCATATCCTCCACCCAACATGGCCCCATCCTGCCAAAGAGAGCAAACTCTCCCTTCCATGCCCACAACTGAGCCTATAAATTGGTTCCTCCTTTAAGAGTTCTTTTCCCTTTAAAATTACCCTTTGTATATCCCAGCCTGATTACACTGTATGATGACCTCAGGAGGGAGTGTGATGCTAGGGGCTTGCCTCGGTCTTCTCCTTTTGCCTTCACTTCTCGATGCATCCTGCCAGCACCCCCTTGATCGGGATCAGAACCCACCATACAGCCAGATGTAGGTGCACACCTGTAATTTCAGCTACTCAGGAGGCTGAGGCTGGGGGATTGCAAATTTGAGGTCAGCCTGGGCAACATAACAAGACTGACTATCAAAAAAGACTCTATGGAAACAAGCTCTGTTTAAACAAGCTCAGTTCTGTTTATCCCTGTGCACCGAGGGAAGGTCATTCCCTCCTTGTGGGAACAGAAGTCTGGAACCCCTCTGGGACGAGGGACAGACTGGACTGGGTAGGTTCTGAGGACCCCTCCAGCCAGCTGAGTAGATGCTGTAGGACCTTCAGGCCCATGGAGGAGATGTCTGGTTGAGTGGGTCCTGGGTAGGTGCTCTATATCCAGACAGCCCTGCAGAGCTGAGAAGTCAGGAAAGGGCCTTGTTCCCTCCAATGAGGTGGTTTAAGGCAAATGTTATAAACATAACTGTTGGTGCAAGAAATCCTCCGATTTATTTACTGGTCATTCACCAAATATTACTGAGCCCTTACCCTGTCCTTCTAGAGTTAGATGATTGCAGAAGCCACCAGATGGACATTGTCTAGTGCCTTCCCCTTTTTTCTTTGTTGTGGTACTAGGGATTGAACCCAGGGCCTTCACACTGAACTATCCCCCTAGCCCTTTTTAATTTTTTATTTTGAGACAAGATCTTGCTAAGTCACTAAGTTGCCCAGGCTGGGCTCAAACTTGCAATTCTGTCTCAGCATCCAAGAATCTTGGATTGTCCAGCCTTTTTTGTGTACACGTGTGGAAATTAGTGGTTTTTAGTTGAAATGTAATTTACACAACGTAAAATGTCCTCTGGTTCCTCAACTGTCAATACAACCTCCTCCCTGTGCTATTTGCAATTCTGTCTCAGCATCCAAGAATCTTGGATTGTCCAGCCTTTTTTGTGTACACGTGTGGAAATTAGTGGTTTTTAGTTGAAATGTAATTTACACAACGTAAAATGTCCTCTGGTTCCTCAACTGTCAATACAACCTCCTATCCCTGTGCTAGAAAACCCTTGCCCCTCCCAGATGCCCAAGCCTCCAAACCTTTATGTCATCCAGGCGATATTGGATCTTTTCTACCGCCCTATCCAGCACTATATAGTAATTCTTCATTGTCTCTAGTTGGGTGCCCAAAACTTTCTCTAGTTCTTCTTCCTAAGTGGGAAGATACAGACATCTGAGGCCTATGCTCCTGAGGTTGGCATGGTTAGAAGGGGTGTGAGGCCAAGAAGAAGGTGCCAAGCTTATGTACTCCAACCTGCCACCTTAACAGCGACTTGAGATGCCCATCAGAAGGAATGAGGTAGTCACTTACCCCCTGGGACCTGTACCAGCCCCATCTGTCTCAGCCTGCCCAACTCACTTCCCTAGTCTTCCTCTCAGCTACAGGACAGATGCTGTCTCTGGAGGGCTGTGGGGTACAGGAGTCAGCCCTCAGCCACCTCAAAAGCCATCATCTTCTCAAAAGCTCCTCTCTGCCAAGGACACTGACCTTTAGCCCAGATTTCTGGAGGTTGTCAACCCTTTCCTCCAATAGGTCCACTGCCGTTCCAATCCTGGAGGCACCTGCCATGTCAACTGAAAGCAGAGGGGATAGGCTGTCAGGGCGGGGATGAAGGAAGACTGGCTGGCACTCCAGTCACTTGTCAGGATGCAGCTAAGGCAATGCTGTCCCACAGAAATACAGGTCCTTAGAGGTAACATTAGCTTTTCTAGTGACCATATTTTTTAAATCTTTAAAAAATATGTGAAATTAATTTTCATAAAATATTTTACTTAACCCAATATATCCCAAGTAGTATCACTTTATTTATTTATTCCCCCACCCCCGTACCAGGGAGTGAATTCAGGACCTTGCACTTGTGAGGCAGACAGCACCACTGAGCTAAATCCCCAGCCCGTATCACTTTAATATATAATTTAAAAAATATTTTGGTGTTGGAGATCAAACCCATGTGTTATGTCAACATTCTGCCACTGATCTGCACTTCCTAAAATTAATAAACATTTTTACATTCTTGGTTTTCTTTCTTTTTTTTTTTTTGTACTGGGGATCGAACTTAGGTCCTTGCGCTTACAAGGCAGGTGGCAGAACCACTGAGCTAAATCTCCAGCCCACATTCCTGTTTTTGAAGTAAGTCTTCCATATCTGGTGTGTACTTCACATGTAGGGCATGTCTGAATTTGGACTGGCCACATTCAGTACTCTACATCACACATAGCTGGTGACCACATCAAAGCAGCTTTCATTTATTTATTTTGGTACTGGGGATTGAACTCAGGTCCTTGTGCTTTCGAGGCAGGCACTGGAACCACTGAGCTAAATCCCCAGCTCTGGTGACCACATGAGACAACAAAGGCTTAAAGAAGTTCCTCCAGAACTTACCACCCAACCCTAAGAAAGGACCTTGATCAAAAACTATGAAGCACATGGGCCAGGGATTTAGCTCAGTGGTTCTGCCACATGCTTCGCAAGTGCACGGTCCTGAGTTCAATCCCTGGTACCAAAAAAACAAAAAACTATGAAGCACATTATTTTGCACATGTGTGTGTGTGTGTGTGTGTGTGTGTGTGTGTGTATGATGTTGGAGACTTAATCCAGGGCTTCACACATGCTAGGCAAGCACTCTACCACTGAGCTACACCCTAGCCCTGAAGCATCTTAGTTATTCAAGTCTATGAAATATATTAAGATTAAATTAAGATTATATTAAGATTAAAAGGGGGTGTCCTTTCTCAGCCTTTTGGCTAAGGTCAAGTGAAGATTAAAAGGGTAAGGTATATTTAGCAAAAGAGAGAGGGTAATTTTTTTTAAGTGGCCTATATCAGTTACACCTGAGTAGCTGGAGCGGCCAAAAACTGTAAATAATACAACCAAGAATGTAAGAAAAACTGTAGACAAAACACCTTGTCTATTTTTCTTAATAAAACTGGCAGCTAGTTGGACGTAGCATTGAGGCTGTTATTACTTCATGTTTTTTGTTTTGTGAACTCGGGACCTTGCGCTTATCAAGGCAGGCGACAGAACCAATGAGCTAAATCCCCAGCCCTTTACTTCATGTTTTAAATTTAAATTTATTAGTATCCTAATCATAGCTGTACCTGAATTCAAGGATACATTACACACACACACACACACACACACATATTTTTAAGACAGGGTCTCCCTGTGTAGTTGAGGCTGGTCTTGAGCTCACTATGTAGCTGAGGCTGGCCTCGAATTTGTAGAGATCCTCTTGCCCCAGCCTCCCAAGCACTGAGATTACAGGTGTGAGCCACCATGCCTGGCTTCTTTTTAGCTATGTGAAATTTCACTTTTTTTCCTCGGATCTGTGGAATAGCACTGCTTATCAGACAATGAAGGTTGTGACTTTGGTGAACTCAGCTAATGCAGTTCTCAGAGAGCAAAAAAAAACAAGATGAGGGCCTGCCTCACAAGTGCAAGGTTCTGAGTTCTGTTCCCAGTACCAAAAAACCCAAGATGATGGCTCAAAACAGTATAAGGCAGTGGATCACGAAGTAGATCCCCTGGGGTCACAGCCTCACATCAGTACTGCCTGGGATAGAGTTAGAAATGCAAACTCTTGGGGATGCGGGTACAGCTCAGTGGTAGAGTGCTGGGCTAGCATGTGTGAAACACTGGACTCAACTCTCAGAACTGAAAAGAAAAAGAAAGACAAACAGAACTTCTTGGGACCTACCCAGGCCAACTTAGAGCTCTCAGAGTGGAACGCAGCAGTCTGCTTTATAGAGCCCTCCAGAGGACACTGAATTGGGCACAAGGTTGAAGATGGATCATTCTTTTCTTTTCTTTTTGTTTTATGAAACAGAGTCTCACTAAGTAGTTCAGGCTGGCTTTGCATTCACTATGTAGCCTAGGCTGGCCTTAAACCTCAGGTAATCCTTTTGCCTCAGCCTCCTGAGAGCTGGGTTCACAGGTATATGTCACCATGCCCAGCCTGCTCTGTGTGTGTGCCCACCGTGGGCTGGCCACCCAGAGGGAACTGTGGTCTCTCAAGAGGCATATTTCTACCTATTTACTCTTTTTTTTGGTACCGGGGATCAAACTCAGGACATTGCACTTATGAGGCAGGCAGTGGTCACATTTACTCCTAATTGCAAGCTGACCTCTTTGGATTTTGCTCAGGGGTCATTTTCTGGCCAAGTCACATTTACCAACACACTGTATAGTACTACTGAATAAGTAATATAAGAGGAGTTTTCTTTTGGTATTAGGATTGAACCCAGATCCTTGTGTATGGCATGCACTCTACTACTGAGATACATCCCCAGCCACTTTTTTTGTTATTGTTGTTGTTATTGTTTTTTTAGTACCGGAAATCGAACTTGGGTCCTCGTGCTTGCAAGGCAGGCAGCAGAACCACTGAGCTAAATCCCTGCCCCCACCACCAGCCACTGTTACTTCACTTTGAGACAAGATATCACTAAGGTGCCTAAGCTGGCCCTGAAATTGGAATCCTCCTGCCTCAGCCTCCTGAGCAGTTGGAATTATAAGCATGTGCCACTGCACCTACCTTGAAAGAAGTTTTCAAGAATAATTTTCACATGTAATTTTCCTCCTCATGTGCCAACTTCAGACTCTAACAGCCCCTCTTCTCCAAGACAAGACCTCACTGTACATTCACAGTAAAATAATAGACTAGCTCTGGGCATGGCAGCACGTGCCTCTAATCCCAGCAACTCAGGAGGCTGAAGCAGAGGAACACTAAGTTCTAGGCCAGCCTAGCCAATTTAGCAAGATCCTATCTCAAAGGGGAAAAAAGTAGTTGAGGATATAGCTCAGGACACCATGAGCTGGGCTCAATCCCCGGTACTACCACCACAACTTTAAAGGTTGTGATTTTTTGTTTGTTTTGTTTTGGTTTGGTTTTTTGGTAACAGGGATCAAACTTGGGACCTTGTACTTGTGAGACAGGTAGCAGCACCACTGAGCTAAATCCTCAGCCCTACCACAACAATTTTAAAAGGAAGGAAGGAGGGAAGTTAGGAAACAAACCAAATTAGTAAGAGGCTAATGTTTAAGCCAAAGTAATGAGTGAATGTAGATTTTGTTGGCAGAGCCAAACAAAAGAGGCAAGCTGCATGGAGGGCCTAAGTCCCCTGCTGCCCTTCCCACCTACCTAGATAATTGAAGCGCTGTTGCAAATCAGATGACAGATGAGCAAACTCTTCTTTCAAAGTGTCATGTCTAACAGGCATTTGGGCTACGTGGCTCATGGAGTACTTGACAGCTTTCTTCTTGTCTTCAGGGCTTATGGCCTGCGTGGCATACAGCATAGCCTGGGACAGCGCTGGTTCATGAGTGTTGAGGCCAAGGGTAGATAGGGGAGAGAACGTTTCATAGTCTGCCATCAAGTCTTCCTGCTTCTCATCATCAGTGCCAAGAGCTTCTAGGGCTCCGCGGGAAATCCCTGCACCTAGGACATCTGCAAAGACCCCTAATGGCCCGGATGCTGCCATGGTTGTTGCCTCAGTAGCCATTTTGGTGGCAGGGGCATCCTCTAATGCCTTTGCTGCAGCTCTGGCTGTCCGGGCTGCTGAGGTTGCAGCAGCTGCATGGGCAGCGGTGACAGTGGCAGCATTGGCAATGGTGGTTCTCAGCCGATGCAGGACAGACTTGGGGCCCTTAGGTCGCGCTTCTAGGGCCCTATCCCTGAGGGCTCCATCTCTGGGGGACCCATCCTGGGAGGCCTTCTCTTTGAGTTCCCCATTCTTGGGAGATCCCTCCTGAGTGTGTCTCACATAGTGGGTAAAATATTTTTCCTCCTTTTCTTCAACCGCTGGGAGCTGATGGGCCTCTGCCTTGCGAGGGTGATAAGGCTGCAGTGAAAGAGGCCATGCTGATCCAAACTCCCGAGCTGGGGGTGGCGCCTTGGAAGGCTGGTGCTGAGGGGACTGCAGGAAGCCTGATGCACTTGTGCCAGGCTGAAGCAAACCTTCAGCCCAGAAAGGCGAAGGGCCAGTCCCAGGTCCAGAGGCGGGCAAAGGTGCTGGTACGAACCCAGGTGTCACATGGGGCCCTACTGGAGCCATGGCGTGGGACTCTGGTCCCAGCACAGTTGCAGGTCCAGCTGCAGGCCCAGGCCCAGCAATGAGAGCCTGAGGCTGTCCTGGACCCTTGGCACTGCCAGATGGAAGTGATTGGACAGATTCCTGGTTTGGTAGGGGTACCTGGATATCAGAGTGCCAGGAAGTCTGTAGGAGCCTGGGACCTTGGATAAGCTCCGCCACATGGGTGTGAACAACACCTTCAAGGTTCTGAGTCTGAGCAAAGGCAGCCTGTGGAGGTGGCTCTGTGGTCGGCCACATGTTGGACAGCTCCAGCTCTAGTGAAGCAGTCCCCTGAGGAAGAACGGGCTGATGGGGCAGGCCAGCTCCCCACATTCCTGCCCCGGCTCCTCCTCCTCCACTCACTGGGCTGAACATGGCCTCGTGGAGGCCACTCCAAAGCACCACGTCATCAGATCTGGGGATGGCGTTAATCGCTTTTTGGAGAGACATCTGTAGAGTGGGGTGGGGAACAAGGGATGTTCCACACTTACAAAAAACCTTTCCAGACCATGCTATTTTCCCCTCCGCACCCTGCCCAGACCCCAGAGAGAAGACAGAGTCAGGGACACTTACCACTTCACGCTTCAGTACAATCATCTGCCGGTTCTGAGTCTTCAAGTCTTCAGAGAAGAGATCCAGTCTTTCTAGGTGCACCTATCACATGATTTGAGTCTGTGAGCGGGGTGCAGCACTGGTTCTGGTCCCAGCCCTGCTGCTTCTCATAATGCTAGATGACTAAGAACTCGAGAAGGAAGAACAGTTTCCCAGGGAAAGAAATGGGGTGCAAAAAGGGCTCCATACACAAAAAGGATGAGGAAATATGGGGCTAAAATCATTCAATGGATTTCTATACTGCAGGGTTTCCTAGAACTGTGAGAGACAGAACATTAAGAATCCCTAAGAGGTGGGTGATAGAGGTACTGTTTCTCAAACAGATTTGTCCACGGGGTCCTTTACAGTGTTTCATGGCACTGCTTCCTGCCAGTGCCCTTTCTGCTTAGAGAAGAGTTACCCCCACCAAGACTGAAATCCAAATGCACACAGTGACCTATGAATCCAGAGCGATACACTAAAATCACACTGTTTGGGACAAATGGCTAAACCTCAGCCACCATGCTGGCCCGGGAGTATGAAGACCTGGCTGCTGACTGTAGCTCTGACTCACCAGTTGTAGAGCAGGGGCAGCTGCCTCAGGCCCCATGGATTCCATGTCCTCCCACGTCATGGTAGGGTGTTGGAACATGCTTAGAGTGACAGCTTGGGGACTACAGAAGAAGCTAGTGTGCGTTTCTATGCCAGGCTGATCTCACTTTTCAGGGTGGACAGAGCTTTGTACAAGAAAAAAAGTGGTCTCTTTCTGCTAAGGTGGTGGAATGTAAGCTTGGAGTTGTCAGGACTTGAGAAGTTTTTGTCTGAGAAGGCAACACTGAGATATTCCAATCATGTATAAGTGCCTAGATCTAGCTATACCTGAAGGCATCACTGGACTTTTAGTAAAAGAGAAAATACATTCTCATATTTTTACTAAGCTAAGATGAACCGGGTTTTTGCCACTTAGAACTGATGTTCTAAAACAATGGCAAGAGAATCATTGAAGAGCCACAGAAAACTAAGCAAAATAGCTCAAGTTGCTAGGCCACATTAGTCCCCTTCTCTTTTACTTATGGCTACATTTTAAAACTTAAGCATAGGCTTCCTAGCTGAGAGGGGTGATGTATACCTATAATACCAACACAGGGGACCCGAGGTAGGAGTATTACAAGTTTAAATCCAGCCTGGGAAATTTAGTAACTTAGTCAGACTAGTCTCTAAAAAATAAAGGGCTGGGGATTTATTTTAGCGTATAGGCCCTGGGTTCAATTACCCCAACCACCAGAGTTCTGACCACCATGGCCAGTGTAGAGATTGTAAGGGAGGGACTACCTTTTCAAACATATCCTTTAGCATGTCCACATCCTTCCTGAGGTCTTCAACTTTGACCTTGAGTGCATAAAGATCAGTGAGCAAATCCTGCAGGGTCTGTATGGACTGGAAAAGGAAAGAAGAGGGAAAACCGTGAAGTTGGGTATGGCTGGAGCAAAAGGCAAGTGAAGTACAGAAGCTTTCTGGTGACAGCCATAGTTCAAGGGGTCCTTCCAGCTCTCCCAAGACCTAACCTGGAATGCACTCAGAGACAAGCAATGGTGCTCTGAGCCCCAGGCAGCCTGAGTGGGAAAGAGGCGACTGAGTATGTGAATGCACACAATAACTGAGAGTTATAACTTGGGAGGCTGAGGCACAAAGATCGCCATGAGTTCAAGGCCAGCCTGGGCTACCTAGTGAATTCAAGGCCAGCCTGAAGTACATAGTGAAACCCTGTCTCAAAAAGAAAAGCCAAGACAAGTCAAGGCAAAACAAGACTGCAGAGCCAGAGAGCCATTTTTAACGATAAGAGATTCGATCCAACAGGAAGATACAATGATCATAAATGTGAATACACTTAACCATGGAGCTCCAAAGTAAATGAAGAAAGAGAACTAAAAAGTAGAAATAGATAATTTAACAAGAATAATGGGAGACTTCATAATCCCACTTCCATAATGGCTAGAATAACTAGTCACAGGGCTGGGGATTTGGCTCAGTGGTTCCGCCGCCTGTCTTCAAAGTGCAAGGGCCGGAGTTCGATCCCCAGTACCAAAAAACAAAGCAAAATAGAATAACTAGTCAGAAGATCAGTAAGGATCTAACTATGTATCTGCTAGCTATAGCTATAGATAGCAGCAATGGTAGAATACACATTCTTCTCAGTGAAGGAATTTAAAAAGGACTCAAATCATGCAAAATAATACTTTGATCAGAGTGGGATTAAATTAGAAATCAAAAGAAGAGACTATTGGAAATTCACAAACACATGAAAATTAATACTCTGCTAAATAACCAATAGGTCACAAAGGAAATAAACAATACTTTGAGATAAATTGAAATAGGGGCTGGGAATTAGCTCAGTGGTCCTGAGTTCGATTCCTGGAATGGGAAAAAAAATGAAATGAAAACACACCAATATTTATAGGGGATACAGCTAACACAGTGCTTAGAGTGTGTTAAATGTCTGTATCATCAAAGAGAAAGACCTCAGGTAAACAGCTTAATTCTTCATTGTAAGATACTGGAACAAAAAAAGAGCAACCTAAACCTAAAGCAAAAAGAAGTAAGGAAATAAAGTATAATGGAAATTAATAAAATACAGAAGAGAAAAATAATAGACAAAATTCAATGAAACTAAAAGCTGGATCTTTGAACAGTCAAAAAAATTGATAAACTTTTAGCTAGATGGACCAAGAAAAAGAGAAAAGACTCAAATTACTAGAACCAAAAATGAAAGAAGGGATATTACTATTGACTACAGAAATAAAAATGGGCAAATAGCCCCAGCTATTCAGGAGGCTGAGATAGGAGGATTACAAGTTTGAGGCCAGCTTGGGCATCACTATGAAGCCCAGGTGGGTCTCGAACTCACAGCAATCTTCCTGCCTCAGCCTCCCAAGTGCTGGGATTACAGGTGTGCGCCACCATGCCCAGCAGAGACCCTTCTTAAAATAAAAATTTTTGAAAGAACTGAGTATGTAGCTCAGTAGTAGAGCATTTGTCTAGCATGCACAAGGCGCTGGGTTCAATCCCCATTACTGCAACAAACCAACAACTCCTAGGAAGGCACAAACTACTAACATGAACACAAAAACAAATAATCCAAATAGACTTTTACCAAGTGAAGAGACTAAGGTAGTAGTAAACTCATGAAGAAAGGCCCAGACCCAGATTGTTTCATCACTGACTTCTATTATATTTAAATAATGAATACTGATTCTTCATAAACTGTTCCAAAAAATAGGAGCAAATATTTCCAAACTGATTTCATAAATCCAGGTTTACCTTGTTACCAAAAACAGACATCACAAGAAAGAAGACTGAAATAGGGATGTAAAAATCCTCAACAAAATACTAACAAAATGAATTTAGCGACTTATAGAAAGAATTATATACTATGGCCAAGGTGGATTAATCCCAAGGATTCAATCCATTCAACACCAAAAAAATCAATGTTGGTGGGCACAGTGGCACACGTCTGTGATCCTAGGTTTTTACTTGGATGGCTGAAGCAGAAGGGTCACAAATTTAAGGCCAGACTGGATAGCTTAATAGACTGCATCTCAAAATTTAAAAAGTTAAGTAAGTGAAAAAGGACTGGGGTCTTGGAATTTAGCTCAGTGGTGCTGCTGTCTGCCTCGCAAGTGCAAGGTCCCTAGTTCAATCCCCAGTACCAAAATATAAAAAGATTGGGATGTAGCTCATCAATATAGCACTTGCCTGGCATTTGCCAGGCCCTGGGTTTGATCCCTGTATGACCATACATACAAAAAGAAAACAATATAATATGTTCTATTAATAAGAAGGAAACAAACTATCCATTAAACGCATGCACACACACACACACACACACACAAACACGATCATCTCAACTGATGCAAAAAAGCACTAGATAAAATCTATCACACTCATGATAAAAATACTCAAGCTCGGGCATGGTGGTACATGTCTGTGATCCCTTCACTGGGAGGCTGAGGCAGAAGGATTGCAAATTTGAGGCACATCTGGACAACTCAGCAATTCAGAGACCCTGTCTCAAAATAGAAAACAGAAAAACGGTTAGGGATGTAGCTTAGCATAAAGTTCCTCCATTCAATCCCCAGTACAGCAAAGAAAGCAAAAGCAAAACAAAAACCATTCAATAAACCAGGAATAGAACTTCTCCCACATGATGAATGATAACAAAGGACTCAGAGTTGGAACAGGGGGTGTAGCTCGGTGGCAGAGAGCTTGTCTAAGATGTGTGCATCTCTAGGCTCAATCCTGAGCACCACAAAATAAAACAAATCCCCCCAAAAGAGTTAACGTTATACTTAATGGTGAAAGGCCAGACAATTTCCTCCTAAGATCAGGAACAAGACAACATCTGCTCCTAACACTTGTATTCAGCATTATTCAGAGGCTGTCTCCAGGGCAATTAGGTTATAAGTAGTAAAATCATTTTGCACAAGACATTATGTTACAAACAGAAAGTCCTAAGGAATTCACTATTAGAATGAATAAGTGAGTTCAGCAAGTTTGAAGCGTATAATATCCACATACAAAAATCAAGCCACAGTCTGGGATTTAGCTTAGTGGTTCCACTGCCTGCCTCATAAGCACAAGGACCTGAGTTCGATTCCTAGTACCAAAAAAGAAAAAAAAAATCAACCCAGGCATGGTGGCACACACCTAAATCTCAGCGCTCTGGGAGGCTGAGGCAAGACGATCACAAATTTAAACCCAGCCGGGGCTACTTAGCAACTTAATAAGATCCTCCCTTAAAAATAAAAAAAATGTAAAAAGTGGGCCAGGGATTTAGCTCAGTAGTGCGGCCGCCTACCTTGCAAACTCAAGGTCTCAAATTCGATCTCCGGTACAAAAAAAATTTTTTTTAAAGTATTAGGAATCAGGTGTGATGACACACGCCTATAGTCCCAGCTCTCAGGACACTAAGGCAGAACTGCCATGAGTTCAAGGCCAGCCTGGGCTACATAGTCAGTTCAAGGCCACCCTGAACTACATAGTGAGACCCTGTCTCAAAACACAAATGTGTTCCTAGACATATACAAAACATAATCAAAAAGTGAAACTAAAAAAGTAATTCTAGGGCCGGGGATTTAGCTCAGTGGTTCCCCTGCCTGCCTCACAAGCACAAGGTCCCACATTCAATCCCTGGTACCAAAATAAAAATTTTTTTAAAAAGATGTTTGAAAGAAAACAAAGATGACTTGAATAAAAAAGTGTAAATCTATGGATCAGAAGATTAGGAATTGTTAAAATGGTAATTTTCTCCAAATTAATCTACAGAGCGAGCCAACCCAATTCCTATCAGATCACTTATTTTTTTGGGGGGGGTTTGAGACAGGGTCTCACTATGTAGTTGAGACTGACCTGGAACTCCCTAGGTAGCCCAGCCTGGTCTCAAACTCACAGCGATCCTCCTGCCTCAGCCTCCCGAGTGCTGGGATTACAGGCGTGTACCACCACACCCGGCCATCAGGTCCCTTCTCCATAGAAATTGGCAAGCTGATACACATGTAATTTTCAAGAAGCCAGACTAGCCAAAACTTTCTTTTTTTTTTTCCCAGTGCTGGGGATCAAACCCAGGGCCTCACATATGCTAAATAAGTACTCTACCACCGAGCTACATCCTCAGCCTTTTTATTTCATTTTAACAGGTTCTTGTTAAATTGTCCAAACTGGCCTTGAATTTGCAATCTTCCTGCCTCAGCTTACCAAGTAGGCATGTGCTATCACATTCAGTGCCAAAACAATTTTGAAAAAGAACAATAGAGGGAGCCTGTGCTTCTAGATTTCAAAGCTTACCATTATACAATGATAATCAAGATAGTATGGTAGGGATGGGACAAAGCACAGTGATAACAACACAGATCTGGGGGGCAAAGTATGATACTGCCACAGGGGTACACATACAGATCAACGGAACAGATCTGAAGCAGGACATGGTGCCTATAATCCTAGCACTTGGGAAGCTGAGGCAGGAGAATTGCAAGTTTGAGCCCAACCTGGGCTAGATGGAGAGTCTGTCTCAAAAAAACAAACAAAAGAGGGCCAGGGATTTAGCACAGTGGCACCGTTCCTGCCTCACAAGTGCAAGATCCTGAGTTTGATCCCCAGTACTGGAGGAAAAAAAAAGAATAGAATTGAGAACCCAGAAATAAACCCATGCATCTGCAGTGAACTGACTTAACAAAAGCATAGAGATGACCCAACTCGATAAGAGAATCATGTCTAACAAACAGGGCCAGTATAACCAGGTATCCACGTGTAAAAGAGGTATCCAGAGAGGTAACACATACTTGCATTCCCAGCTACTAGGAGGCTGAGGAAGAAGGGGTGCTTGAGAGCCAAGGAATTTAGGACCAGTTCAAGACCTTGTTTCCTGGGCCAGGGATTTAGCTCAGTGGCACCATGCCTGCCTGACAAGCACAAGGTCCCGATCTCCAGTACCCCCCAAAAAACAAAGACCCTTTTCCTTAAAAAATAAACAAACAATAAGAACTTATACACCAATGTTCATAGCAGCACTATTCGTAAGTTCATAGATGGTAACAACCCAACTGTCCATCAATTGATAAGCTAAATGTGGTATATCCATGCAAAAGAATATTATTTGGCAATAAAAATAATAAAGTACTGATACAGACCCTAGTGTGGGAGCAAACCTTGAAAATATTAAGATAAAATGAAAGATTAGAGGCTCAAGAAGGCCAGGCATGGGGAGAGACTGCTCATGGTTATTGTGTTTCTCTCTGGGCTGTTGAAAATGTCCTAAAATTAGACTACAGTGATATCTGCACAGTCTGTGAACACACTATCCTATAATCACTGAACTGCAAACTTTATTTTGAGACAGGGTCTTGTTATGTAGTTCAGGCTGGCCTTGAACTCATGGTAATCCTCCTACCTCAGCCTCCCAAGTGATAAGATTACAGGCACACACCACCACACCCAGCTAAATGCATGAATTTTTTGGTGTGTAAAATATCTCAAGGAAGTGGTAAACAAACAAACAAACAGCATTTCACTTTATAAACAATAGGGCAAATTTTTAATAGTTTGTTGTACTGTCAGGGGTTGCTGCTAATTTTGTTGAGAGCAACAATGGTATTCTAGAATGGCTAAAAGGGAAGTGGGAAGGGGAGGGGAAAGGAAATAGGGAAAAGAAAAATTGTGAAGAAACGAAAAAAAAGAAAAAATGAAGAAATGGAAACAAAGTCTTTGTAAATAGGGAAGGGTGAAGGAGGTGAAGGGAAGGCAGGGGTATGGGGGAAAAAACAAGAACCAAGGCCTGTCATGTAAAAGGTACAAGATCCCAGTGATAAATGTAACTGTAGTGTTTGCTTTAAATGTACCAGTAAATTTAGTGGGGGAAAAACCAATGGTATTATGGGATAGGTTTACAATTTATCTGCTGTATAAAATGCTTTTCAGAGAGACCTGCCATGTGCTACCCCTACCTCTCCGCTGGTGCTTCCCGTCTCTATCCATCTCCCTAGGGAGGACCAGGGACCAAACACCCCAAGCAGGAATCACCCCTTCCATAAAACAGGTAAGGGTCAAGCAGTGCCTGAAAAGATGGAAGAACCTGGTGGAATGCTCTAGGGGGAAGGGCTGCACGCAAAAGGGGAAGAGCACCTTTCTTATATGGGGTTCTATTCCACGACATGCACCAAGAATGGCTTCTCCTTCCGGGCCTGGTGGCTCACGCCTGCAGTCCCAGCACTCAGGAGGCAGAAGCAGGAGGACTGCCACGAGTTTGAGGCCAGTCTGAGCTATATAGTGAGTTCAGGGCCAGCCTGAACTATAAAGTGAGACCCCGTCTCAAAAAAAGAAAGAAAGAAAAAGAAAGAGGAAGAAAGAGAAAGAAAGAAAGCTTTTCACGATACAGCTGCTGCCTCACAGGGCTGGGACAAGCCTTGGGCTCCCCTCTAGGAAAGGACATCAGAGGGGTCCTGAGGAAAGGGTCAAGGTCTTTTCTTTGTTTTTGCCTAAGGCCCTCAGGCCACAGTCAGGGCTGAGTTGGGTGGTGGGGGACCAGCCCTTTCCAGAAGCTGACACATAGTGTGTGTCAGCCTAAAACAGGAACTAGACGCTGGACTTCTCCAAACTTGCTTGCTCTGTGTGTCTCTAAAGAGGGCTCTGAGAATGCAGGCTTGGACAAGGTCCAAGTACTTACAAAAGCTTTAAGGGCCCTATACGGGAGTTCAAAGTAAACGCCACCTGGATACTCAGTTAGCTGGGCCCATACAGCCCCTTCCAGAGCCAAGGAAAAAAGTCCTAATACCATCTTCTTCCCAAGGAGGAATACAGAAGCACTTCGTAGCACTATGGAAAGGCAGCAACAACATTTGTTACTAACAAAACAGTAATTTCAAGGGGCCAGGGATTTGGCTCAGTGGTGCCACTGCCTGCCTCTTAAGTGTAAGGTCCTGAGTTCTATCCCCAATACCATAAATAAATAAATAACTTAAAACCCGATCCCCTAAAACTCCAAAGTATTTCAAGAACTTTAAACAATGTTATGAAATACGAATATAAGTGTCGTCACTTTATTTTATGTGACATATAATATGTATTGTTTGGGTTGTTAGGGGGGCAGAACGAGGAGGAAGTTTAGAAATCAAAAAAGCAGCTGGCACACACCTGCAATTTTAGCTACTCGTGAGGCTAAGTGGGGAGGTCTGCAAGTTTGAGGCCAGCCTAAACAACTTAGTAAGACTCTTGTCTCGAAATAAAAAATAAGAAAGGTGGGATGCCAAACAGGCCAGGTGGTAATGCAGGTCTGTAAACCCAGTACTCTGGGAGGCTAAGACGGGAGGAACAAAATTTTGAACCCAGCCTCGGGCAATTTAATGAGAGACTCTGTCTCAAAAAGTAAAAGGGCTGAGGATGTGGGTTAGTGCAAAAGGCCCTGTGTTTAATCAATATTGTTTAAAAAGGGGTGGCGGGGAGACAGTGTGAGCCACTCTGTTCAATCCCTGGAACCACCAAAAAACTTTTTTAAAAGGCAGCAGATTAAAATCCCCTAATACTTGCACCAACCTCATGGAACAGGATCACACAAGAACAATCTTTTTTTTTTTCCCCCAGTTTTTTTGAGATAGGGTCTCACTATGCAGTTGAGACTGACCTGGAACTCACTATGTAGTGCAGGCTGGTCTCGAACTCACAGCGATCCTCCTGCCTCAGCCTCCTGAGTGCTGGGATTACAGGCGTGCGCCACCACGACCAGCCCACACAAGAACAATCTTAATAACAAACAAATCCTTCATTTTCTCCTGGGATGCTGGCTGCCAGAGCTGTCATTACAGATGAGAAAACCAGGGCCTCAACCAGACACAGGAACACACACTGAAAGGCAGCTTCCTTTTTTTGAATCGAATTTGTGTCCTTGCATTTGCAAGGCAGATAGCCGGCACCACAGAGCTAAATCCCCCGCCCTTGAAAGGCACTTTCCTTACAGAGATGCAGAACCTTGGGGATCAGGAAAGGGTCCAGGAATCTGCGATTCTGAAAACTCTCACTAGGGGGAGCTGGTGCCCAGACCTTGGAAGAGCCCAGTGGGTACATGACCTGCCAGAGGTTTCAGAGTTCTCAGGATGGCTCTGTAGAATGGCATGGAAATGGGAGGCCAAGTTTATTACTCCAGCGGTCCATCTGGGGACAATGGGCATCTGGAACTGTTTGGAGACATTGCTGGTTTTCTCAACTAGGGAGTGTTCCTGCTATCCACTGGGTAGGGGCCAAGGTGCCACTCAGCATCCCACAATGCACAGGACAATTCCAAGCCACAAAGAATTATCTGACTCAAAATGCCAACAGTGGTCAAGTTCACAAGCCCTGCAATCTAACTCTGCTTTATTATGACTTGTGGGGTGCAAGACCCCAAATCTGGCAGTGTGCTGACTGGCTCTTCCCAGGCTCCTTGCTCACCCAGGGGCAAAACCCCCACCGGTGTTTGTCCTAGTTTCCCAAGTACCATCTTCCCTATGTGGGGTGAGTCTGAAGCAAACTGTTTTCTGTGTCCACTGAGGGGTTCCCAGCCAACGCAGAAAAAAAGCGGTAAAGGGATGAAGTTGAGGCAACCCCATTATTTACACAGCATTTGGTCTGCCAGCCTCACCGGCTGGTAGGTGCAGACACTCAGCTAAGCAGCATGCGCCATTCTAGAATCGCTACCATGGCAACCCCCTTCAATGGGTCATTGTGGTAACTCTGGGAAATCTCCTCAGTCAGTCTGAGACCAGGCAGCATTCTCTAACTGCAGAGGCATTCCTTATCAGTACAAACAGTCCTCTGACGTCTGCGTGGCCAGCCCAAACCTGTCCTTGAGTCTTTCTGTAAGCTGAGCAGGTGATCATGTTCAGCTGCTCAAGGCATTTGAGAATTCTAGAAGCCTTCATCCAGCAAGGCATGGGGGGGCTGCCTCTAGGGCACACCTCAGACACTTGTGTCCATCCTTCCTGCCTGCGAGACCCTTGGCCACCCTGCAGCCTTGTCTGTCTTGAAACCTACTTTGTCTGATGCGGGTACAGCCCCCAGCTCTGTTCTGTTCCTGCTTGCATGCAGAATCCTTTCCTATCCTTTTACTTTCAACTTATTTGCATATAGGTAGATCATAGGGTTTATTTTTTTTTTCTTTTTCTTTTTTATAGGGCTGGAGATCAAACCCAGGGCCTTGTACATGTGAGATGGGAGGCAAGTGCTCTGCACTGAGGTACAACCCCAGCCCATTCATGGGATTGTTTTTAGACAGGTCTGGCTATATATCCCAATCTGGCCTTAGACTTGCAATCCTTAAGCCTCAGCCTCCCAATGTGGCATTTTAAAAAAATTAATTTGCCAATCTTGCTTTTGTGTGGTAAAACTCTCATTATTAAAGCATATAATTCCATGGCATTTAGTATATATAGAAAGTGTGAGACCATCACCATCCATCTAGTTTCAAGACATTTCATTCCCCAAAAGGGAAATCCTATCTCCATCAGCAGTCCACACTACCTGTTCCTGTTTCCCAAAAATCACCGATCTACTTTCTCCTCTATGGATTTGCCTTTTCTACTGGTAATCTTTTTCGGTTTTGGTACCAGGGATCGAACTCAGGCCCCTGTGCTTTCGAGGCAGGCTCTGGAACCACTGAGCTAAATCCCCAGCTGGATTTGCCTCTTCTAAACATCTCAGACAAATAAAATCACAACGTGTGGCCTGTTATGTCTGGCTTCTTCCACTTAATAATCGTGTAGGGATCCTCCCTGTGTTGTTTTGCCTCTCCTGCCTGGCATCAGACCTACCTTGGCCCATCAGGGCTCTTCCTCCCTACCACAGACTCCAAGCTCCGTTCTTCAGGGCTCTAGGGCTCCCAATCCACCAGATCGGACACCTACAATGCATCCAACTCTGTGCCAAGCACTTCCCATGCACTGTGTCAACATAAGTTCTAGATACAGTCCTAGTAGGAGCAACTCATCATCAAACCATTACCACACCCCACCCTTTCCCCAGACTGCTTCTTGCTCAGATACCTATGCAGCCCATCTGCCCAGAATGCCCGGGTTTCCACTGGCGTCCCCATTTTCTAATACTGTAACTTCTGAATGCCTTTGTTTCCTCATCTGAAAACTAGGGATGATACCAGTCCCACTGAGTCATCAGGAAGCTTAAAGGAGCTAACAGATGCAAGGCATTTAGTTTACCTGGCACATGGTGAGGACAGGGAACAGAGGGAAAGGACACTAAAGAAATAGGGGGTGCTATGGCTTATGTCTAGATGTTCCCCCAAAGCTTCATGCAGTCATAGATGGGGGTTTTTCAGGTGGCTGGATCTAGAGTGTGTGATGCTGGGACTGATTTATAGTGCAAAGTTGGGCACTAGTATTAACGGTGTGAGTGCTACCTGCCCTAAGCAGCCTGGTAGGAAATGAAGGACAGAAGGAGCTGTGGTCGTCCTATGTTGCTTTGCTACCTTCTGCCTACCAAGAACTGTTTCTCCTCTGCAATGCCTGTCTGCCAGGGTACCCTGCCTCAGAGGCAGCTGATTATGGGCTGAAAACTCTACAAAGCATAAGCTAAATAAACCTTTCCTCTCTTAACTTGTGGGTTATTTTGTGGGTATTTTGTCTTTGCAATGAGATAAAAGTAACTAAGACGGGTATTAAGCCCAAGAAAGTTGGGCTGTACAGAGAAAAAGCTGAGAGTCTGGATAGTTTTTCTCACTTGAAGAACAGAGCTGTTTCTGTCTGTTTTCTCAATCACCTCTACAAACACCTACACCAACATGCCTGCCTCCTCAGTGCACAGGTCAGACCTGAGAGTCCCTGTGTGGTCCAGGCCTTCAGAGCACTTTCCTAAGTAAGCTCCACTCCTGAGACTTGCCCTGTGATCCTTCCCGTGCTTTGTAGATATGACCCCACCATATGTGGGTGAGAAGGAAACACACTCAGAGGGAGATAACTACCCTCCACGGGACTCAACCTTGGTTGATGACAATCTTTTTTTTTTTTTTTTTTTTTTTTTTTTTTTTTTTGAGATAGGGTCTCCCTGTGTAGTTCAGGCTGGCTTTGAACTATGTAGCCCAAGCTGGCCTCAAACTCACAACCTTCCAACTACAAGGATTACAGGGGTGTGCCACCTTGCTGGACTGGTGACAGTTCTTTAATTCTCACTGGCAAGTGGCTTTTTAACCATCAAGAGCTCAGTCTAAGGCCAGGGATTTGGCTCAGTGGTTCCACTGCCTGTTTAAAAAATAAAAAGCTCAGTCTAGGCCCCAGACTATGGTGGAGGTTAGTGGCGAAGGTAGGCTACTCTGTGAAGCTGTCCTACATGGGTCACCTGTCCTTGGCTACGCAGATACCAGCCTCCAATGGGAACCTAAGGGGACAGTCTGCCTGCTCGGCCCAGCCCCTAAGTGGGTTGCTACTTTCCCACTCCTGACTCGCTGCCCAGCTTCTCCATGGGGTATCTCACCTTCCAGAATTCGCAGCTCAAGATACCCCTCCCCATTTCCCAAGAGCAAAGTGATCCACTCCCCACTGAGCAGTTAACCCTGACTTTTACTTCATTCACCCACACAATAGCTGAGTGTTACTGAGATTTTCATTTTATAGATAAGAAAGCAGGAGGCAAAGGGATTGCTTTGCTCAAGGCCACAAAACTCAAAGAGGGCAGTGGGCCAAGTTCACAATTCAGCTGGAGATGTAGCTCAGGGATACAGCATTTGCCTAGCACGCACAAGACCCTAGATTTGATCCTCAGCTCTATAATTTTTTTTAAAAAAAAGAACAATGCAGCAGCATTTATTAAAATGGCAACTGCATGTCTATAACTTCTATCTAGTTCCGAAACATTTTCACATTAACCCCAAAAGGAAACCCTACACCCACTAAACAGTCACTACCCATTCCCCCTTCCTCCCAGGCCCTTGAAACCACCAATCTACTTTCTGTGTCTATGAATTTGCCTATTCTGGGGATTCTGTATAAGTGGCATTATATGTCTGCTTCTTTTCTCAATAAATGACCAGGATAGAAGACTGGGGTTTTGGTTCTGTCTGACTCCAAGGTCTGGCTTCATCCCCTCTCCACAATGGACTATCCCATCTTTAGGGAACAAAGGACAAGATGCTTGGGAGCAGAGCAGACAAACGGGCCGGGAGGCTTCCACAGGTCGGAGGTGTACCTTTGCTATGGCTTCTTCATTGCCCTCCACCATCTTCCTCAGCTTGATCAGATGCCACAGGTCCTCGATGGGCCGGCCAGTCCCTTGACTGCCCTCCAGCAGCTGGGTGGCACAGGGCAGGTCCTGCAGGATGGCCAGCTGGTTCTCTATCTTGTCAATACGGTTCACCACGTGGTCAAAGATGTTGCTGAGCCGCTTCATGGGGCTAAGGATGGGCTGGGCATCTCCTTCCCTGGGCATAAGCATCACCTGTGAGGTCTGGAGGAAGTCCTCATCGCCTGAGAGGACCTTCTTGAGATCAGCCATGTGGATGTGCTCCAGGATGCCCTGGAGCAGAAGATGTTGGGCCTTGAAGTTCACCATCCCGCAATGCAGTATGGCAACATTGACCAACTCAGTGAATGTGAGCGAGAAGCTCATCTTGCCAGGGTGGTGGGTCAGAGGGGCTGAGGTTCTTGGAAAAAAGTGGTGGTGTCAGTGCTCCTAAACAGCTGCACGGACAGGTCATCAGAGGCTTGGGGAGGCTGCGAGTCCTAGCGGTCAGGGAGGAATGACCTCTGTCCTGACTAGAGTGCGGATCAGAGTTTCTGGTTGCTAGGACACCAGAGAATATGGTCAAGTTGACATGCTTCTGAGAGCCTGGAGAGGGGCAGGCACTCACAGGCGAGCCTCAGCCAGAGTAGGTACTCATTTAATATTTGATGAGTGTTTAAAAAGTAAACGAGTAAACCAGGCTTGGTGGCGCACGCCTGTAATCCCAGCACTTGGGAGGCTGAGGCAGGAGGATCACTGTGAGTTCGAGACCAACCTGGACTACATAGTGAGTTCCAGGTCAGTCTCAACTACATAGTAAGACCCTGTCTCAAAAAACAAAACCAAACAAAACCAAACAAACAAAAAAAGTAAACAAGTAATCTTTTCATTCAAGTCTTCTGCTTATGCAAGGCTGACAGCTCTTTTAAGAAACATGTAGGGAAAGTGATAGAGGCAGCTTGCCACTTGAAGACTCTAGATTCAGGACAGAAGACAGATTTTTTTTTTTTTTTTTTTTTTTTTGGAGTCAAGAAGGTCCAGGTTTTACGAAGAGAGTCTGAAGAACTATGTTAGTTTTTTTGACATGGCCAAACACATCTTCCCTCGTGGTGCTTCAGTTTCTGGCTGGGAGAGCAAAGGAAGTGAGAAGAGTATCATCTGCCCAGAGTCCATCACGTCCCTGTCTTCCCTCTGGGCCCTACTCTGCTCCCCATGTGAGGTGGGGTTCACTGAGACCCCAACTCTCCTGAGTAGTGTCTTAGTCCTGCTGTGTTTTGAGGGCCATGGCCATGAGCTGGCTGCTGTAGGGTCAAGGAGCTGCTAGGGCACCACTACTGTCAGGCCCTGCTTAGTCAGTTTGATGACAGCAACCTGCTTGTCCCAGTCTCCTAGGGAAGCCTGCTGGAAAAGCCTTCAACTTCACACCTGGAGCCTGACTCCTGCCTACTCAGCACTGTGACCTCACATTCTTGGCACACAGCACACAACATAAGCCCATTCAGGATTTCCATTCATGAAGGGCCACTCTGGCCTGGCTTCCACATAAAAAAGCTGAAAATGCCAGGGACTTTGTGGTTCTGCCGCCTGCCTCACAAGCGCAAGGTCCCAAGTTCGATCCCTGATACCAAAACAAAACAAAACTAAAATTGAGCAGCACATGAAATTCATATGAAAACTAAATTACATATAATAAAAAAAGCTAAAACAAAGTGTTTCATTGTCTCAGACTCTCCCCTATACCACCTAACATGAACCTAGATCCTATGATAAGTCCTCCTGACACGAGGCATTAGTCAAGCTTCTCCAGAGAGAAGAAACCAATAGGATACATTGACACAAGCACGTGGGAGGGATGTATTAGGGAAATTGTTTCATGCCATCACAGTGCTGAGGAGTCCCATGGCAGAGTGTCTGCAAGAGACCCTGGGATAGCTCAGGCCAAGTCCACAGGCCTCAGAACCAAGGAAGCCAATGGCAAAACTCTCAGTCTGACGCCAAAGGCCTGAGAACCTGGGGGTCGGGAACACTTCATGTGCTAAGTTCTGAAGTCCAAAGGCAGCGGAGTCTGAAGTTTTGGTGTCCAAGGACAGAAGAGGAAGAATGGACACATGTGCCTTCTTCCTGTTTTGTTATCTCTAGGCCCTTGGCAGACTGGATGGTGCCCACCCGCATTGAGGGCAAGTCTTCCTGACCTAGTCTGCTCAGGACTCATCCCAATCCCTGGAAACACCCTCACAGGCACACCAAAAATAATGCTTTGCCAGGTTTCTAAGTATTCTTTAATCCAGTCACATGGGTATCTAATATTAACTATCACACACTTTCATTAAGGCCTCTCAGTTCTCCATTGTGTTGTAAGATTTAAAAATTCAAGTGTGGTGGTGCATTCCTATAATCCCCTCATTTGGGAGGCTGAAGGCTGGAGGATTACCACAAGTTGTAGTCACTCTGGGCTACACAGTGAGTTCAAGGTCAGCCTGAACTATGTAGTAAGACTCTGTCTTAAAAACAAAACAAGGGGTCTAGGGATTTAGCTCAGTGATTCCGCCACCTGCCTCACAAGCGCAAGGTCCCAAGTTTGACCCCCCCACTCCGGTACAAAAAAAACAATTCAAGTGTTGCCTCACTATCTTTGGGCCACACGGGGCTCCTGAGTCCCCTTGCTCTTACCAGATATGTCTCCCTCAAGGGGAAAGGCCCCAGCAACCAGCTAGTTCCTCATCCAGCCAGATAAGCTGCACCCAACTGGTCCTCACACTATGGGCTTCACCTTCCTGCCAAGTCTTCGAAATATTCAAACCAATCCCATCTCCCTGTGGGAGCCAGGGAACCTAACCTCTGTCAATTCCAAGCCTACTTCCCCTGGTCCGGCTGGTTCTCTCTGCTCCCCAGGGCATTCTCTCCCCACTCCATCCACTGACCCTGCATAACTACACTGTCTTCTCCTGGGCAGTGAGTATATGTGACTAACATACCACGTCAATCATCCCTGACCAGTGCCATGCTGGGTATCTGGTCATCTTGTACTTCTGAGGCCACTCACATTTCACCAAGGTTGCAATTAAGACCCCAGGAAGTTAGAGATACCAGGAATGAGGAATGTGTGCCAAGGAGCCTGCCAATAAGCAGAACCAGAGAGGCCACGTAGCCTTCAACCTCTAAGACACTAGAGATCGGACTGCCCAAGGTCTCTGAAACTCACATCTTACCACCATGTGCTTCAACTGCCAGACATTAAGCTATAAGAGTTAGAGTTTATCTTGCTGGGTTTTAATCTTTGGTCCAATTTCTTTCTAGTCCCCATTCCTTACATTTGTAAAGGAAATATTTACTCTGTGTCGTTGTATTTTGAGAATATGTATAATTTCTTTTTTAAGACTTTGCTCCGCATGCATACATGGCAAGTGCTCTACCACTGAACTACAATTCTTACACTGTTTTGTTTTGTTTTGTTTTTTACAGGCACTCACATAGTTTGTCTTGGTTCTCAGAGGAGATTTTGGACTGACTTTTGAACAGTGCTGGAACTGTCAAGACTTTTGGTGACTCTCAGAAATGAACTGAGTGCATGTTGCATAACGAGGTAGACATAATGTCCTTTTGGAGGCCAGAAGTGAAATGCTATGGTTTAGATCTAAAATGTCCCCCAAAAGTTTTAGGTCTTGGGTTGGGTCTTGGAAGACCATTGGAGGAGGAAGGAGGAAGGAAGAGGAAGAGGAAGAGGAAGAGGAAGAGGAAGAGGAAGAGGAAGAAGAAGAAGAAGAAGAAGAAGAAGAAGAAGAAGAAGAAGAAGAAGAAGAAGAAGAAGGAAAGAAGAAGAAGAAGAAGAAGAAGGAGGAAGATGACGATGTCAGGTACTTTGTAACAGTGACACAAATCTGACTAACACAGAAGGCTAAAGGCTTTCGGTTCATTATTTCATACTGTTCTGTTTGGACTTCAATGAGTCTTGAATGTGTAGATTAATGTATTTTTAAAAATTAATTAATTAATTAATCGATTTGGGGGCCAGGGATTTAGCTCAGTGGTTCCACCGCCTGCCTCAAAAGCACAAGGTCCTCAATTTGATCCCCAGTGCCCCCCACCAAAATTTGGTACTTTCAGTCATTTCTTTGTACATTTTTCTGTGCTTCCTACTTCCTCCTTTCTTTCTAGTACTCCCATTATGCATAGGGTGGTACAATCAAACAGGTCCAATTTCTCTGAGGCTCTATTAATTTTAATTCATTCTATTTTCTCTCTATTTTTTGGTGTGTATAATCCCTATTAACCTAACTTCAAGTTTGCCAGTTCTTTCTTTATCACCCCAAATACCCTTGTTTTATAAATAAGGAAATGAGAATTAGGAGATTTAATGTGTGATCCCACTTATTTGGATCACACATAGCAAATAAGTGCCAGAGCCTGGCGCAGTGGCACATGGCTGCAATCCCAACTACTCAGGAAGCTAACGTAGGAGGATCGAAAGTTCAAGGCCAGCCCAAGGAACACAGAAAGACCTCATTAAAAAATAAGGTAATGCCAGCACTTTAATACAAGATCTCAGGTCTCATCCTTCCAATCAGTTATGCAGTCACACTGCAAAAATATAAACTGAATGTACTGCATAAATGCGTACTGAAACTTCTAGGGGCCATGAAACTAAGGCCTCTACGTGTTACAACCTATGTGTCAAAAACTTCTAGGGGACAAAAAAAATCAGACAAAAGTCCTTCCCCCATGAAAGAAAATAGACAGCAAGCAGGTGAACAGATAAATAAGATCCCTTAGATGATGGTAAGCACTGTAAAGAAAATGAAGCAGGCAATGAAATAAGTGCTGTGGGAACGGTGTTCAGGGAGGAACATCTGGAGGTGACATGTGAGTTGAGACCTGGAACCAAAATGTTTCTGGAGCTCCTTAAGGGCAGAAACCTTTCACTTTCCAGTACCAGAACACAAAGCCCAGCACACAGTAGGTGCTCTCTGTTTTTGCTAAAACAGATCACAGCTCCAGAGGAGCTGTCTACTCTCATGGATTGCCTTACTTTTCTTACTGTGGAGACAAATTACCCAATGCCCAACATTAAAGAAGGATGGGTTTATTTAGTTCACAGTTTGCAGAGTTTCCATTCCATGATTGGCTGGCTCTAAGGCAGCGTGGCACATGGAAGAGTGGCATCACACAGGGGACGCAATTCATTGCAGACAGAAGACAGAAAAAGCAAGCAGGGGATGATCCCAGCTTTCTTTCTTTTCTTTCTTTATTTATTTATTTTTTTGCTATTTCTATTCCTTATATCTTATCCAGGCTACTTAGGGCGGGTAGCACTCACATCCTTAATGCTAGTGCCCTTGAGCCTATCACTGTACCATGAATCAATCCCAGAGTCTCACACTCTCGATTCAGCCACCTCTGAAAAAGCTCCACCTATGACTGCAAGAAGCGTGACGCTTTGGGGGCTCTTACGGACCACATGAGTGACAAAAACATGAAGTATGCTGGGTGTGGTCGTGCATACCTGTAATCCACCACTCAGGAGGCTGAGGCAGGAGTTCAAGACCGTGAGTTCAAGGCCCGCTTGAACTACTAGTGAGACCCTGTCTCAAAAATAAAATAAATGTTAATCACTCATGTTTCTGATAGAATCGTTTAGCATTCAAAATTGAAGACTTCACAATACCAAGAACTGGCACGTACATGAACAGAAGAACCCTCATGTGCTGATGGAGAGAACTTGTCTGGAAAACTGGCAGGGCCTACAAAGTAGAACAAATGCATACTCTCTGACCCAGCCCCTGAACCCCTAGAAGGGAACCCAACAGAAATATTCGCAGGCCATGTATTTAAGTGTCTCTGATAGTACTGAATTTGGCAGTGTTTGTGACAACAGCCAAAAATCCTCACATGGGATCACGCAGATGCCCACAAACAGCAAGACTGACAAACCGTGACATATTCTCACAATAGACTATGATACAGCAATGAGGACAAACATCAACAACTATATGTTGTCATACAGATGACTTTCACAGCTACAAAACTGGGCGGGAGAAGCCACATCTGAACAAGTTCACACTTCATGAATCCACTGCTGTAAAAAGTACAAAAACAGAGAAACTAATCATTGGTGTCAGATGTCAGGAGAGTGGTTACCCTAAGGTGAACTCAGCGGAAGTGAGAATGAAGCAGAGCTGCCATGGTGTGATCAATGTGTGACAATTCATAAAGCCATATGCCTCTTCTTTGAGTTTTTTGAGACAGGGTCTCACGTTATAGTCTGGCCCCGAACTCACTATGTAGCCCAGGTTGGTCTCGAACTCACAGGGATCCTCCTGCCTCAGCCTCCCGAGTGCTGGGATTACAGACGTGCGAGTGCTGGGATTACAGACGTGCGCCACCACGCCCGGCTATTTTTTTGTTTTTTGGTTTTTTTAGACAGTCTCACTAAGTAGTTCAGGCTGGCCTTGAACTCACTATGTAGCCTGGCCTCAAACTCTTGGCAACCCTCCTGCCTCAGCCTCCCGAGTGCTGGGATTACTGGTGTGCACCACTACGCCTGGCAGGTAGGTAAATGCTTTTTAACTGAATAAACATTTGTAGAACAAATGGAGAAGGAGCCCAGGAGCGAAGAAGGCGCGCGTTCCTTGGACCCTTGCCTAACAGCCGTCAGGGGCGGGAGGGGCGGAAGAAGGGGACCTCACCGGACCCTTTTCTGGCTCTCCTGCCTTCCACTCAGCAAATACGCCACAGTATCCCCATGTGCTTGAGTCTAACGCGATTTAGTCCCCGGCGACGTCACCTAGATCGTCACGTGTCATACCGGGCCACGCCTCCTCGCCGCGACGCCAGGGTCCTGGGCCTTTTTCCAAAGCTTACCCGCCTCCTCTGACGGGACGCGACGGCAGTCGCTTCGGCTGCTACGCCCGCCGCGGCTGAGCAGGTGCGGGGACGGTGAGTCGCCTCTGCGCTCTCGGGGATGGCTTCTCGTAGGAACCCCCTCTTTCACCCCTATCGAAGGGGGGCTGGGCCTCGAGCCCCCCCTTCGGTGGGAAATGACCTCGGCCCGGGACCCCGCCCCCGCCCGCGGTTTCGCGCGGTGCATGCCGGCTTCTGTAGGCCCCTTGCCTCCGGGCTCGCTGAAGGCTTACTGGCTGAATACAAATCCTGGAGGCCTTTGGGCACGCGGGGAAACTACAAATCCCAGTGGCCTTTGGGCGCGCGGGGGCAGTGTACGTACAGAACCTCCGGGCGAGGGGTCTCCTCAGAGCTCTAGGCTGGAGCCGGGATTATCTCTGCTTCCTGCGGGCGGGTCTCCGGTGCCTGGCTTCTGAGGTAAAGAGGGTCGGGGCGGCGAGGCGGGCCCGTCCCCATCCGAGATGCTGCGGGACACAGGGTAGCCCGGGGGATTAGTGTGGTTGTGGCTCCGGGGCTGCGGCGACAGCTTCCCTGGCTCGGGTCTGGAGTCCCAGGATTATATCGGTCCCAAAGGCCCAGCCTAGAGCGCGTCCCTCTAGTGCCTCTCCAGCTTTTATGTAAGGGGAAGATTGTGTCGTTGTACCGCAGGAAATGAAGGGAAGGGAGAGGAAAGGCGAACGCTTTCTAGCTTAAAGAACGGGGGAGGGGTGGGGTGGGAAGAAGGGTCGCCGCGCCGAGTGGTCCTGCAGGTGACCTTGGCAGTCCCGAAGGAGCCAGCCGCACTCTCCCTCCCCCGCCCGGCTCCGGCTCTCCGTAGCGTGCCGATCGGGACGTGGCTCTGCGCTGCGCACCCACAGGCTGGTTGGAGAAGCGGCGGACTGACCAGGTCTCACACCATGGACGTGGGTTCCCAAGGGCCTCTCAACAGGTGTCAGGGAAGATGGAGTTGAGTGGCCGAGGATCCTCTGCGTCAGAAGGACGTGGAGCCCTTGTTAAAAAGACAGGTTCTAGGGGCTCACATCCACCCCATCAGGCTCTGAATCAGTAGTTAAGGGCTGCAGCTCAGGAATCTGTATTTAATACGCTGCGTAGATAATTCTCAGTACACTTGGGGCTAAGAAACTCTGTCGCAAAGTGAGGATAAAAGGCCCCTGAAGAGGGGGCGTTCGGTAGCATTTGTATCAGTTTTGTATGTATTTCTGGGGCCTGATGTGAGCAGGAACGTGCCTAGGCAAATAGGACTGCTTTCCTTGCTTTCCTTGGAGCTCACCAGAATTGGGTGCGAAGACGTGTGTCAGCTCTGTTTGTCCTCAGCTCTAAATGGGAAACATATTTTCAGTCACTCACCATTTCAGAAGGCCCTCCCACCCCCAGTTTTTTTCTTTTCTTTTTGTCTTCTGTCAGTATCGGGGATCGAACCCGGGACTTTGCGCTTGCGAGGCAGGCGTGGTGTCACTGAGCTAAATTCCCAGCCCTATCCCCAGATTTAATTAGGAAAAAATTTAAGTATACAGAAGAGTTGAAGGAATTTTACAATGTATGTATACCCATGGACCATTGCCTAGGATTCATACTTAACGTATCACATCTTTATCACATATCTGTCTACCTAGCAGTTCACTTTTGTGTTTATTGATGCCAAAGTAAGTTGCAGATATCACTGATTCCTTCTCAAATAGTTAAGCATGTATATCATTACCTGGAGCCTTAGAATTCTGATTTTTTTTTTTTTTTTTTTGTACTGGGGATCAAACTCAGGACCTTGTGCTTGCGAAGCAGGTGCTGGAACCACTGTGCTAAATCCCCAGCCTAGAATTCTGATTTTTAACTGACACAGGGCCTGGGTATTTGAAAGTCTGCCTCCCAGCCTTGAGGAGCTGAAGGGGTTTGAAGAGGGATGGGTCTATGGAAACAGGAAAGACTTTTACATCTGTTCTTAAAGTGATTTTAAAACAGCTGGCCGTGGTTCTAGAATCACCCTAAAAGCAGAAACACGGAATGTATGAAGAATACTTCAGGGAACAAAATTGTTTTGAAGGGGAGAGAGAATGCAACGTGTCCCAAAGGCCCCAGCAGATCATGTTGGCAATAATTAGAGTTGTCTGCTTACATGCTCTCTTGGTTCTTCATACAATGTAAGCTTGCGCAGTTTGTACCTACTGGTACCTACTGGCTTGTTGTGTTTTATTTGTTTGTTTCATGTGGGTTTTTGTTTTTGTTTTTTGAGATAGGGTTTCACTGTGTAGTTCAGGCTGGCCTTGAACTCACTGTGTAGTTCAGGCTGGCCTTGAACTCACTGTGTAGCCCAGGCTGGCTTCAAACACACAGCAATCCTCCTGCCTCAGCCTCCCAAGTGCTGGGATTATAGGCATGTGCCACAATGCCCAGCTGCTGTGTGTTTTCTGAACTCTGGAAGAACAGGCCAATGAGCACATTTGGCAAGCTCACAATACTGATGAATTTGAAGTCATAGCTTGAGTCCCTTTTAAGCCAAGGTACTTAGTTCCATAGCCACAAACACTATTCCCTCACTTGGTTTGGTTAAGAAGAAGAGAAGAGACATCCTGTGAAAAGTTCTCTCTGCCTTCATAAACACTGTTTTAAAGTTTAAGAACATATTTATTCATCCAGAACACGGTTCAGGAAGTGTGGTAAAATCATGGCACTTTATGCTGATGTCTATCCTGTATCTGAAGAATGTGCTGATAGAGGGCAGCAGACGGGGATTCTGTGGAGGACCTTCACTGTTTCTAGAGGGGAGAAAGGATGAGAGCCAGATTGGCAGTAGTGAGGGGAGATTTGTTGTCCCACAAGGGAACTTGGAATTAGCCTGCACAAAATGGAAATGTGCCCATTTTTAGACCTTACAAAAGTCTTCTGTCTCCATCTGCACCCTGTCAGGATTCTCCTAAACTCCATCTCTGTAGGAGCTAGTGGAGGCTACACTATAACATAGTATCACAGAGGAGAAAATGAGCTGGGCCAGGGACTGGCCACCTCAGGAGATGCTGGTCTGTCCGGCTCCTGAGCCTCCGAGCCTACTGTCTGCCCTTTGTCTGTGAGTCATCATCAGCGCTGTAGTGATAATGATGGGGTCCTGGGACCAGTACTACCTAGACTTTGAATCAGCAAACCACATTGGAGGCCCTTCCTTGTGACTCTGAAGCTGTGTGGACAAGTCACTTGGCCTTTCCAGAGCTTCACTCACTGCATCTGTGGTAGATGGAAAGTAGCACCCAGGCCAGATGAAGACCTATATTCACTGCAAGCACTAAAAAGGTGAGGATTCCGTGATGTCAGACAAAATAAAAATAATTAAAAACCATCTAGTACAGGGTAAAGAGGCCCAACAACATACTTTCTGTGGGAGCCAATTGTGATGTGTTTTTTGGGGTCTTTTTTTTTGTCATCTGTTCTGTATTTTGATTTGTTGGTGCTGTGAACCCCATTTGTTCTGTCCTTTGAGTGACTCAATTCTTACTGCAACAAGATGTCACAAGGTTTCAGTAAAATCTGAATATACTTTTTACATAATGTGTTCAGTAAATGTTAATTCAGTCTAAATTCAGGTCTAGTTGCAGAATTTGGCGGGTTTTTTGCAAGAAGAAAAGGATAGAGCAGGTGGGAGTGGGTAAAGAACCGTGTGAAAGTTGCCTGGAGTGGTGTTTGATAATTGTAACTCCTTATTCCTTCAGGAAGAATGTGAACAGTTGTCAGCAGTTCCATCTCACTTGAAGTACAGCAGCCTTACCAGTTGGAAACTGAAGGAATGAGATTTGTGAGCAGTGGGGGCCTTATACGTGTATGGTTCCTATTGGTCCATTTCTCAGTTGTCATCTAAGGAGTAGCACAGGCATGATTAATACATCTAATAAAGCAGCCATTTTCTAAGTGATTTGCTTGAGGCTGCCAAATAATGGCAGAGCAGGGCTGCATACCCCCCAAAACAGTGGGGGGGGGGTCAAAGGGAGAGAGGACAGAGGAAATGTGGGCTTTCCCAGTCCCACTGTGATTACTGCCCCCATGGAATTGATAATGATTTAAGATAGGATGTTTTTTGCTGTTTGGATTTGGCCAAAAACAAAGGCACATTGAGGAGGAAGATGGTCAATTTTATCTGTGGCTGTGCTGTGGCCTGGGGATTTTGGGTAGTGGGCATTTGGATTAGGAACAGCATAGGAAGTCTACTAAGCTTAACCCCAAATCTCATGGACTCATTTATTCGCTCATTTAATCAGACATGTACAGATTTGGAGAAGTGTAAGGTATAGTGTGGTGGAGCTGGAGTGGACTGTGGTAGGTCTGGGATACAGGGCAGAGCCCAGACTTTTCCTTTAAATCTTGACCATCAGATGAAATATGTGGTTTTGAGCACTTTTTGAAACAGAGTTAGAAGGACTTGCCAGCTGTCCAAAGTTTAAAGGGAAGAGAACCTGGAACCTTTTTTCAGCCATTCTGTTTGGTGACTGGGGTATCGCTTAAGAAGACCTTGTCCAGGACTGTCAACTGAGCTGTCGTGTCCACCCTCTCAGCCCATATAATTCAGGTACTGCCAGGTGCTATGGGGAAACTATCCTCAAACACTATTTCTAACCCTCAGGTACTGTAGGTCTGGCTGGCAAACTGGACCCTTGAAAACAGCTTTCAAATTCCCCTGCTTCAAGTGATTAATACTCTGGACCTGAAGTTTGCTGCCCACCATCCTGGGAGGCCCAGAAGACATCCCTGTCCTACTTCACACATCTCCCATCTTGCAGCTAGAGTACCTGAGTATATTTTACAAAATCTTTTCAAGTGTGACTTGGTTTCCCAGGTGGATCTGCAGCTTCCTGAGGATGAGGACTATGAGGTGAATGATCTAGAGCAGTGGTGGCGAACCTTTTAGAGCTTTCAATGATAATAGCCCACTGTGGCATGTGTGCCATAGGTTTGCCACTACTGTTCTAGAGGGTCCAGTGAATTGTTAGTGGAAGTAAGGGGTCATAAGCCTTGATTCTTCAAAAAGGTTGTCCCTTGGAAAAAGAAGGGTGTGTAGTGATTGCTCTTCTAAATAGAACTGGTGCATCTCAAACCTGAAGGATCCTGTCCTGCTTTGTGCCTCAAGTGACCATTTCTCAGCATTCTGTGTCCCCCAAGGGTTAGGCCTTATTTTTCATCCCCCAGTGAGGTTAAACTCAAGTTTCATGTCTGCGTCTGCCTGCCTGCTTTGCCTGGAGAGTAGCCACACCATTACCCATTTCTCTGTGACCCCAGCCAAACTGGCCAAAAAGGAACTGTACCTGCTGGAGGTGGTGGTCAAATACTCTAGGATTCCCATCTCTAGTAGTCATCTGTTTGATATCAGGGGCTTGTGAGATCTATATTAGTACAACACACAGAGTTTAGGAAGTAGAGACTTGTGAAAGACAACTTTATTT